GGTTGGAGAAACCAGGGCACCACTGCAAATTACAAGGAGAATGAGCCTGGCATTTCCTTCAGGGCAATATATCATATAATGGTTCAACAATAATAAAACTGGTAAACAAAAGATTTGGAAACAGGATCTCAAAGAGATATTTGCACGCCCATGTTCATTGCAATATTATTCACAATAACCACAATGTGTCCATCCAAAGATAAATGCGTACACAAAATATGGTAAATACATAAAATGAGACATTATTCAGCTTTAAGAAGGAAGGAAATCCTGTCATTTGCTATAATATGATGAACCTTGAGGACATTGTCCTAAATGAAGCAAGCCAACCACAAAACAACTATTGCTTGATTTCGCTCATATGAGGTTGTTAAAGCAGTCAAACTCATACTAACGGTGAATAGAATGGTGGTTTCCAGAGGCTAGGGGTAGAGGAAAAGAGGAAGTTGTTATTCAATGGGCATAGAGTTGTGTCATGCAAGAGAAAAAGTCCTTGAGATCTGCTGTAACATGATTGGCATATAGTTGACAATATTGTAAAATACACACAAAAATTGTTAAGTGGATAAATCTATGGTATGTGTTTTTAACCACAATTAAAAATGTTTTAAATTAAAAAATTTGAAGACAAAAAACAACTACATCAGGCATGTCAAGCTCAACACCATAAACTTATTCCTCTTTACTCCCGCTTCAGGTGACTACTGGTCTGCATGAGACAGTCAATTCTTAGTAAAAACTGAAAGTGGGTTATCTTTCTTTATGACATGTACATATGTCTCTATGTCTGCGCCAATGTGTTTATTTTTACTGAACACACATTGACATCATTTGAAAGTCCTGAGGCAATTTGGGAAAAACTATACAGAATAAATGTTATCTGACATTTTAATGCTTTACTTTCTCTTTACCCAAGGAGTAGTTTGCTTTTCAAACACGTCTTCTACTAGATAGCCTGTTTTACTTTTCTTCAAATCACTTATTTCACTGGCACTATACAATAAATTCACTGGGCTATTGATCTACTGCCTGACAGTATAATTTAATTCCATGAGAGCATAGATTTGGTTTTTTACTACTATATCCTCAGCACATGAAAGAGTTCCCAGCACAGAGTAGGTGCTCAATTAACACTTGTTGAATTAATGAATGATTCTCCTGATACCAGGAGGGACAAGAGAAAAAACGTAGACTGTCCTAAGCTTAGCCATCAAAGTAAAGATGCTTGCATTGAATAGAAATTGTCTCTGGAAGGACAGAATTCTTTAATGTTTTTGCTTGCATTATTTTATGCCTTTGAGTCAGGCGATGAAACCCTTAGTGCAGCTCCGCAACCCGCAAACATGATTCTTTAACTAGATACATCTAGAGCACAGTGAACTTTATAGACTTCTTAACCACCAGATAATTCCAGGAATTGAATTTAGTGACAAGAATCCTTTAGATATAGGAAGAGATAGATAGAGAATCACTCAAGGGGGACCAAAAAGACAGGTACAATTATATCCTGAGCCATTTTAATATACTCCCAGATAACATTGCTTGAAACTGTTCAGGAGCAAATGAGAGAGGTGTCAGAAACACACAGACTTAAGAGTGTTACCCAGACATTCATTCAATCAGCTTCAAAACTGAGTCCTCACCTAGAGTTAAACCTCTTCCTCTTTATTTCTTTTTGAAGCTAGGAAAATTTTCTACCAAAGATGTCTGCCAGCTTTTTAAGGCTTAGGATCCTTGACTGCAGAGTTATTCTTCAGGTATCCTGATGCCTTCTTCATACTGTTTTTAAGAGGATAAACTACATTTTTCTCATTCTGACCAGAGAAGATCCCATGTCTATAATCATCAAGGAGGTGATAATAGACACATATCACAGCTTCAGTTCCGCTGAGCCAGCACTCAGTTCATAGCATCCAGTGTCATCCCTCTGTTGACCCACAAAGATTATTTTTGTATCTTCATTTCTGTTTTTTTATGGAATCCTGAGTCAGAGCTCTATCCAGAATGATTGTTGAGGAAGCTACCATAGCTTTGGAGGGAGAAGGTACCAAAAACATTTTCTCCCTTTTTTTTTCTTTAAAACTATCCCAGAGGAGAAGCTTGACGGAAACTTGGTTGGGTTTATAATTCTCCTGCAGCAACAAAAACTTCCAACAGCCAACTTTGCACAGCAGTTTCAAAACCAGAAACCAAAATAAACTGCCAATAGGAGCCTATCGACAGCAAGATGTCATGTGCTTTTTCCTGTTGTATAACCTAGCCTCCATTTTACCTTCCCTCCCAGAGATCATTCCATGCAGAGAGATCAGTTCCTCTTGCCTGCCCCAAGCAAGTGGCCAATGAATGTATGTGCAGTTTATAAGATTCCTCAATCAGATTGAATATGACAGAAAAAGACTTTGGCAGGATCTGAGATCTCTGGGAGACAAGGATCTGGGACTGTGATTTCTTTGCCAGCCTTACTCCTGATGAGGGAGGATGGCTCAAGGAGAGCTCAGAGTTCAGGAAACATGTATTTTTAAAAAGCAAGCACTTGCATACAAGCAAAATCTAGATTAGAAGTGAAATGTTTGCAGCGTTAAAAGTGAATAACGTCAAGAAAGGCCAGCAGGCTGCTGCCAACAAATAAAAGTGAAAAATGAATGGTTTAGTCTTAGCAGTGGCAGTGGGACACACTGAATAGCAGTATGTGGGTGACTTTCACGTTTATAATAACAAGGGTAGCTATCATTGACTAAGCATGTGCCGTGCCCCACTATGGCAAGTTTTTCCCATCTATTAACTGAGGCACAATACCATGTATGCAATTCCTTTTAACTCTCATCTCATCAGATGAGAGCCTCCAGAAGCAGGGAGGTTAATAGCTTGAGCGTAATCATTTAGTTGCCAAAAAACAAACAAACAAAAAAAAAAACAAAAGAAGAGCTGGAATTCCTTCCTTCCTTCTTTCCCTCCCTCCCTCCTTTCCTTCCTTCCTTTCTTTCGAGACAGGGTCTTGCTCTGCTGCCCAGGCTAGAATGCAGTGGCATGATCTTGGCTCACTGCAACCTCCGCCTCCCAGGTCAAGTGGTTCTCCTGTCCCAGCCTACCAAGTAGCTGAGATTACAGGTGCCCGCCATCATGCCCGGCTAATTTTTATACTTTTAGTAGAGACGAGGCTTCACCATTTTGGCCAGGCTGGTCTCCAACCCCTGACCTTGTGACCCACCCACCTTGGCCTCCCAAAGTGCTGGGATTACAGGCGTGAGCCACTGCACCCAGCCAAAGAACTGGAATTTCAACTAAGGTCTATCTGACTCCAACTTAGCCATCCTTGCCCCTGTGCAAGGCTGCTGTAATGGGAGCTTTGGACTGGCCTCTGGGTGAGTGTTCAAGCTCTGACTTGTGTCCTCCTTCTCAGCTATTTGCCAGTCATGCTATTGTATAAGGGGAAAGAGGGGTGGTGATTCCTACTTTATTTCTCTCTTGGGAGTGGCTTCACTCTATTCCTAGAAATGGGGCAGATGGGCCTTTGCTATGGGATGATGAATAGCAAAGAGAAGCCCATAGAGGGGCATTTTGCCATACTCTCCACCACCATATATCTACCCCAGGGCCCGTGTACCCACAGGGTACCCACCTGAACCTGATCTTGATTGCTTTACTTTTCCTGATCTTGATTTTTTTACATTGGAAAACTCATCTTGTTAGTAATTCCTCTGTTTCTAATAATGCTTTGGTCCAGCTTGGTGTTTGCTGACTCCTCACACACCTCCCCGTGAGCGTGGCTTCCTTCAGCTGCCAATGTGGAGAGCAGCTGCAGGGATGCCAGGAAGCCCCAGGGCCATGGCTTCCTTGGCAGGAGCTCCAAAGAACACAAATATTCCCATTTTTCTTTTTGGCAGAAGTGGTAGATAAGTGCATTAACAAAAACAGGAATATGATGAAGGGAGGCTGAGAAGACAAGGGTGAAGAGGAGAAACTCCTGACCAAACAAGAAGCCAAACAAGAGGGGAGCATGCCCCCACCCATGCTGCTGGATGGTCTATATTGTGTGTTTTAGACTCATCCAGATGACAGTCTTATTTCCTGTCTTCTCAGCAGTTGCTACCACATTGCCAGAGCTCCACACATTTTGGTTTTCCGTGGCGGTAACAAAAACACTTCTCTTCCCCACAGCTAACACATGGACACAGGGAAGGGAGCACTACACACTGGGGTCAGTTGGGGGGAAATAGGGGAGGGACGGTGGGGGGTGGGGAGGTGGGGAGAGATAGCAAGGGGAGAAATGCCTGATGTAGGTGATGGGGAGGAAGGCAGCAAATCACACTGCCATGTGTGTACCTATGCAACAATTTTGCATGTTCTTCACATGTACCCCAAAACCTAAAATGCAATAAAATAAAATGGGAAAAAAAAATAATAATATTGCCTGTGATGACAGTGATCATGTATATGACCCTGTGCTCAGTGCTTTACAGGATGATGATGATAATTCACACTTTTATAGTTTACCATGTACAAGCAATGTTCTAAATGATCAACAGACAGGCAGGTTAACTCATATATCAATATATGAGTTAACATATTAATCCTTACTGCAAAACCATGAAGTAGGTACTATTATCCTATTTTACAGATGAGAAACTGAAGAACAAAGAGTTAAGTGACTTTCCCAAGGTCACTGATCTGAAAAGTGGGTATTTATGCCCCAGGAAACTAAGGTTCAGAGGCATTAAGTAACCTGCTCAAGGTCACATAGTGAGAAAGTGGTAGAACTGAGTCTCAAGCCAAATCTGCCGGACTCCAAAGTATATACTAGCTATATACTTTGGCATATAACTCTATATAGTCCAGCTGCCATGCTAGACTAACACAACCACATACATATATATGTAGATACACATATATGCACAAAATATACACATATATATGCTATGCACAAAACTGAGTCTCAAACCAAATCTGCAGGACTCCAAAAGTATATACTATTAGCTGCTATGCTAGATTAACTCTATATAGACACATGACCACGCACATATATACGTAGATACATATATGCACACACATCCTAGAAAACTAGAAGTTTTTATCCAAACATTTGGGACTCTTGAATTCTAAGACAGTATTTTTTTATTGCCTCCAAAAGTTGTATATCTTGGTATACACAGAAAAGCATTACATTTGAAGGTGACTTGGGCCACACACAAAAAGCACCTTGAGGCCCCTTTTGACCCTGCCCTGCCACCTGTGAGCTGAAAGGTCAGTATTTTGGCACATCTAAAATCCACTTTATTTGGAAAGTTCTGCCTCAGAGAAATGTTGCAGGCATGAAAGCAAAAAGTGATTTGAGAACCTACCTCATTGTCCCCTTCTCACCTCTCCCATTTCTCTGCTCCTTCACTTGCTCTGCATTTTGGTGTACTGAGGAATAAGAAGAAATGAGTTGAATAAAGTCAGTTTCACTCAAAACACACAAATATGGCCCACCACCTGAAAGATTCCCATTTCAACTCTCCTTTTCCTTTCTTATTCCTCCAGGAAAGCAGAACGGTAGTAATTAAAATAGAAGCATGAAGAGGCCCTGGGCATATTGCAAACACCGTTTGCCTAAAAGACTGCCAAGCTGCAGAATCCACTTTTTTCCCCCTGAATGAGCAGCAACTACTGTCTTGCCATGCCATCATAAAAACCTGCCTTCTGGATGTGCAGTGCAGGCGTGTAATGGCACTGGGTTTCCCTCTGAGCCAAAGCAGCGGGAGCTGCCCCACTTGGGCATTTTTTTTTTTTTTTTACCAGAAAGAATAAACATTGGCACACATATCATTGGGGGCAGGCATGCCCTGGCAGAAGGGCACATTGTGTGACTGGCAGCCGGTACTCTCTGGCTTTCAGTTTTATATTTCTCAAATTCTAATTGACCTGCAACCACACTGGGAGGAGTTTTGCTTCATTTCTGTATTATATAAGACTGGGTGGCCCCAGGGCTATGGGCTGTGGAGTTCTCTGGAGCCCAGGCTTGGAGTGAGTAGAGCTATTCCCAAAGCTGCCTTAATGCATGAAGAGGAGAGAAAAGAAGACAGCAACTATGAGCCTTCTCCTCCTCTCTGCCATTTCCCTTCAGAGGCCATGCAGTGATAGATGCTTCATACACCCTGTTGCTCCTAATGCCAGATGCAACGCACATGTGTTGTCAAACTAGGATTAGTTTGTTATTTCTTCTTTAAGTAGGTTAAGCTTTTTTAAGCAGGGGTAATTAAGATTATGACTAGACAATGAATGAAAGAAATCATGGGGCTTAATGAGGGTACTGTAGTTACCCTAGAATGGAAAGGATAACAAGTTTGCTTTTATTGGTATGAGAAAAAAAGGAGATGGCAATAAAAGATACATATATGTATGTATATATGCAGCTTCATCCACACTAACACCTGGTAGAATTGGGCGCAATATAAATCAATGCTCACTTTGGGAACGGTTTTTTTTCTGCATATATTCCCACTGCTTATGTGGTTCCTTAACTTTTCTGTGGTAACTAATTTCAAAATATTAAAAACATATTCTTACCCTGAAAGACAAAGGTGGTGATGATGTCAGCACACATCCTTTCTGATCATAGGCTCTAGGTGTCTCCCAAAACTGGCACAGTGAAAACAGAGAGGCATGGGAGAAGAAACAAGAGCAGTCACAAAGGCTGTGCAAACCCTTCCTCAGCTGATTCCATTTGTAAACTCTTTTCATCTGTATTCTGCTCCCAGTGAGCATTGCTGGTACTTTTAGCTGGTACTTTCAGCAATGCTCACTGGGAGCAGAAGACAGAGGAAGAAATCAAGAGACTCTTGACCAGTCTCTTGCTTCTAATTGCTCCACCCTCCACTGCATCCTTCACACAGCCGCCAGATTGATAGCTCTAAAAGGCCACCTTGTTCATGCTTTTCCTCTCTTTATATTATTTTCTAGAAGCACAAAAATTCCTCTTTGAGAACAATGTCCTGCAAATAATAGCTCCATGTTTGAAGACAAAAATCTTCAAATCAGCATTGTTTATTGACTGCAGCATATTTAATGTCTCATTAGTTAACTGTTAAATAAGCCATGGTTCAACTACATAATTTGAAAACATGGAGCTGGGGAAAAGAATAAGATAGCTCTAAATGTGCTGATACGGACCAATCTCAAGATACAAAGCAAGATTTGTATAGTATCTTCCTTTGCATGCAACAAAGGATAAACAAAGGAGATGCTTATACGTATACTATTTACACAAAGATACATCAGCAGTTAACGATCGTGGTTGTTTCCTGGGAGGGAAGTTACGGAACTGAATATCTGTCAGGGCTTTTTTGTTGTATGCTCTTTGGAGATTTTAAAATCATACATAGGTGTTACTTTTGTAATAAGAAATATTAATTTAAAGAACAAAAACAAAGCCTTCCATGTAATGAAAGCACTTATCAACCTGGGTAAGTGATGAGGGCACTTCACCACCTGATCCCACCTACCTTTGATCCCACCTACCTTTGACCTCTGATGTTGACTCAAGGTCACATCACACCATTTGCCATTGCCTGACCTGCTCGTGCTACCCAAGAGTATTCCACACATGTGAACGTGGCTGGGTTTCTTCATGTATATACTGAGGATTACAACAGCACCCATGACACAGAGTTTTTTAGAGAATTAAATGAGATAAAACATAACAGGTGCTTATAACAATGCCTAGCAAACACGTTCTCAATAAATGTCAGTTGTTATTATTGTTTTATCCTAAGATGGCACCTCTCTGCAGAAAGGCCTTTGCTCCACTCTCTGCCTGGTGAAAGGCTACTTATACAGTAAGGCTTAGCTCAAATATCATCCTGTGCTCCTCACAACCTCTGTGCGCTAAGCACTTTGTTCATACGCTTGTTTTGTGCCTTCCATATTCCATCATAATTACTATCATACCAGTCTACTTCTATCTAGCCCTTATGAAGTATATTGAGCAAGGACCGTGATATGTATCCTTTTCTTGAGTCTAATATACTTTCTCATAGTTCCTCAGTAATTATTTAGAGAATTTAGTGTAATTAAAGCAGTAAAAAGAAATCCCCAGAAAATGCAGCATGTATGCATTGCAGCAATCAAAATCTTCTCGCAGTATGTCTGCTAATGGTTTCCCCACTATGTGACACCAAAGGAACCTTCTGGGAAATAGAGATCAGCATTAGTGCCAAGATTCCCCCCAAGGTGATCTAAGCACTTCACACCATTTTGGTTGTCAAGGCTCACTCTTCACAGCTCATCTTTCTTGCCAGAATGCTGGGCCAGCTTTTAGTACTTAGCAATATAGATTGTGAGCTAACACTTGGCTGATGTCTAATTTAAAAGATTGACTGTGCATTAAAAGCCCTAGAAGGCTTAAAAAAAAAAAAAGACTTGAATAAACCATTGCAAAAGGAATCTCTTGGCTGATTATTGTTTTGGATTTGATATTGGATTTAATATTAACACAATAGCATATTCAATTGTCCTCTGTGCTCATGTGAGAAACAATATATTATTCATAGGTTTAAAACACAATTCCAGAGTTAAAAGATCTGAGGGAGAAAAGGTTAGACTGATATTTCTCCATGAGTCATGTGTTATAAGCACCACCTGGAGTACTTAAGTACTTAAGACTCAGGTTCTCAGATTCTACCTAAGGCAATGAGGACCCTAGAGTCTGCTTTTTCATAGAGAATACCTTGGTGATTCTTAAATACATGAAACTTGAGAGCCACCGATTTATAATGGCATTCAGATAAGCCACTGAGGCCAGAATGTCAAGATCAGCCTGGACAACATAGCAAGACCCCATCTACACACACACACACACACACACACACACACACACACACACACACACACACAAAAATTAGCTAAGCATGGGGTGTACCTGTAGTCCCAGCTACTCTGGAGGCTGAGGCAGGAGGATCCCTTTAGCTTGGGGGTTCAAGGCTAGAGTGAGCTGTGATCATACCACCGCACTCCAGCCTGGGTGACAGAGTGACAGCCTGTCTCTAAAAAATAAAAAGAGAAAAATCAGCTTGAATAAGAAAGTACAGCAAATGTAAAATTCTCATAAAACAAGCTTCACCAAGTCACAAAATACTGTGTGCTGTGTGTGCTTTCTGCCTTATATGCCTTTTAAGCATGGGTTCTGTATCCTTGGTTGCCTATATGACGTCATGCTTGCAAAGAAATCAAGGATATAGCATGGTTTGGATGACAGTGGAGACTTGAAATGTGGTTAATTAGTGATTGATTCTCTTTCTTCTTGGGCTCCACCTTGAGTTTTTCAATTCTAATCAGAGCTACACTTTCCCAGGTTTCAGGCTTGACCAGGGACAATGGTCATGAGGAGGAGAAGGAAAGCAACATAGTGTGTCTTTGGTCTCAAGTAATGAGGAAGACATACAATGAAAATGGAATGAAAATCATTCTCTACTCTTTGTGACCCCTTGCTCTGCATTTTTAAGTGCCTTCTGAGCGCAGTCAGCTCCCTTTCCAGTCCTTCTTTACACCAAGCACAGGACATAATGGTCAAAAGCAACATACTCCACAAAGCATGTTCTCCCACAGAATACAAGTCAGCTCAGTGTGGTTTGGGAGTCTTTGAGCTTTATAAATAAGTGTATATGTTAACAGAGATGTATGGCAAAGCTACCTATGGTCTCTAGCAGAAAGAACACTTGTTTTCCAGTCAGAATATAGGTTTAAGACCCATTTTACCTTTTCTTTTTTTCCCCCCCATTTATTTATTTTATTGCATTTTAGGTTTTGGGGTACATGTGAAGAACATGCAAAATTGTTGCATAGGTACACACGTGGCAGTGAGTACATCTGGCATTTCTCCCCTAGCTATCTCTTCCCATCTCCCTCCCATATTTCCCCCCAACTGACCCCAGTGTGTAGTGCTCCCCTCCCTGTGTCCATGTGTTCTTATTGTTCAACACCCGCCTATGAGTGAGAACATGCGGTGTTTGATCTTCTGCTCTTCTGTCAGTTTGCTGAGAATGATGGTTTCCAGGTTCATCCATGTCCCTACA